ATAAGAAATTTCAAATAATTAAAAATTACTTTACATCACATTAACCCTTTCTAGATGGGTTACAAGTGAAAGGCCATGTCATCTCATTTGTTGACTCGTATTCAAAATTTTATTGATCTGCTATTTCATGAACTTATGTCAATAACTTTGGTATCAAACTGGAAATTATAATTCAACTTTCAGAACTATACATTACTCAGTTTCTTAATTTAAAAGCAAATAAAGAAAAAAACACATAAACATTGATTTTTGTATCTCACGTGGTATGTTGAATGCAGCACTGAAGTCAAAATACTAAGTCTATAGTTTTGTATGAATTAGAAACTCAAACATAAAGCATGATCAACCCATTAAATTGCACGTTATGAATAATGAATAAGAAATTCCATTTACAGAATATATTGTAATTATATATGTAACTACGATCAGTACAATCCGATATATATAAGGAACCACTAAATTAAATTAAAGATTTTTAAACAATGATTGTAACCACTAATGATCAACGTATGTTGCCTGTGACTATTGAAACCTATAAACAAGAGAAGCAAAATAGTAAGGAATCAAAACTTCAGATTTATAAATTTTTAAGTATGTTTGTTTCATGATTCAGAAAGAACATATAAAAAAAACAATAAAATATGCTACAAATTATATATAACATAATAATTAGGTAGAAGTTACCCCTCTATAAATTAGTACATAAACAAAAAGCTTATGTACAAGAGATAACATAGGAACTAATTACAATGAAACTTGAGGAAAGATGTTTTAGATATATTTGAAAAGCTACCACAAAATATAATATTCTCAAATAATATATCTTTGTTTGTTCTCTTGTTGTTACAGTAACGTGTGTGTATGTGTATATATTGTAACATCATAAGCGACAACAATATACAATAAACATAGTGAATTGAGAATACCTTTTTTTGTTTTTTATGGGGGGAAAGCTTTGCACCCTAGTTTTCTAAAATTGAGTACTTTTCAGCCTTTAATGAAATTTTGATACAATATTTTTTCATGCGTAAGGCTTTCATAATATTTTCGTTTTAGGCATCCACTTTTTTTTCCTGCAAAAATCAAGTTTAGGAATTTTGTTTAAACAATTAAAATCTGTTAATTCAGATCCTTTCATATTTAAGTTTCCAAAATTTTCTAACTACAGCTGGTAAGCAGGAAAATCTTATGAACAATTTATCTGTGCTGCCACTTAAGATTGGTTAGTTTTGCCTAATAACTTATACTTTAGTCATTGTTTACTCATAGCTACTGAAATCTGTTATAATTTGGGTAGTTCTTTCCAAAATGTAAAAAAATCATCAAAAAATTTAATCAAAATTATAACAGACTATCAAGATTTATTTTACACTTAAATAAACTATGCTAATTTTATATATCATTTTCTTAACACTATTAGATTTTGTCATTTTCAAAACTTTGCAAACATTTGAAAGCAAAGTGAATGGCGGGGAGGGGGACAAGCGCTCCCTTGTCAATTGATGTAAGAGACAACAGTCAAATTATTGGAATGAATCATAACCAAATAGACCCTTACTAAAGGTAGGAAATAATACAAGGCCCAACAAACTGCAAAAAGTTCCAGAATGTTGACATGGAGGGAAGATTCGACCACCATCCAATAACTGGAGATCTTCTGAAAATCCAGA